AGCCTGAGCCTGTGAAACCCTGTCTCTACTAAAAATACAAAAATTAGCTGGCCATGGTGGTGCACACCTGTAGTCCCAGTCTACTCAGGAAGCTGAGGCAGGAGAATCGCTGGAACCTGGGAGGCAGAGGTTGTGGTAAGCTGAGATCCGCACCATTGCACGAAGATCGCACCACTGCACTCCAGACTCCAGCCTGACGACAAAGTGAGACTCCGTCTCAGAAAAAGAAAAAAAAAAGAAAAAAAATAAAATTGTCACAAGAGAAAAAAAAAAAAAAGGCCAGGTATAATGACTCACGCCTTAATCCCAGCACTTTGGGAGGCTGAGGCAGGCAGATCACGAGGTTAGGAGTTCGATACCAACCTGGCCATCATGGTGAAACCCCGTCCTTACTAAAAATACAAAAATTAGCTGGGTGTGGTGGCGGGCACCTGTAACCCCAGCTACTCCATAGGCTGAGGCAGGAGAATCACTTGAACCTGGGAAGCAGAGGTTGCAGTGAGCCGAGATCACACCATTGCACTCCAGACTCCAGCCTGGGCAACAGAATGAGACTCTGTCTCAAGCAAACAAAACAAAACAAAAACCCCAGGAGCCCTTGAAACATAGCAGACAAAAATTGGCAAATCCAATTTGAGCAAAAGATTTGAACATTACAAGTTACAATCTTGATGATCACATTAAAATCTAGATATAATTGTGGAATACACATTGTCTTCAAGACCATAGGAAACATAAAAATAGCAGCGAGCCACGAAGGGCATTTTCAAACTTCTAAAGAATTGAGGCCAGGTACAGTGGCTCACGCCTGTAATCCCAAGACTTCGGGAGGCCAAGGCGGGAGGCTCACTTGAGCCCAGGAGTTGGAGACTAGCCTGGCAACATAGTGAGATCCCATCTCTACAAATAACTTTAAAAATTTTTTCAATTTACCGTTTCTTTGTGTTGGGAACATTCAAAATCCTCCCCTAGCTATCTGAAGCTACATATTAATATTAATGTGAGCTCTGGCCACCCTGCAGCGTGTAGAACACTAGAACCTATTCCTCCTATCTAGCTGTAATTTTGTATCCTTCAGCAAGGCTCTCCCTATCTCCCCTTCCCCCTACCCTTTTTAGCCTCTGGTATCCTCTGGCTAACCAAAATTTCTTGAAAAAGTTACCATAATTAAAAATTTGGGCCAGGCACGGTGGCTCACTTCTGTAATCCCAGCACTTTGGGAGACTGTGGCGGGGGGATCACCTGAAGTCAGGAGTTCGAGACCAGCCTGGCCTGGTGAAACCCTGTCTCTACTAAAAATACAAAAAATTAGCTGGGCATGGTGGTGCACACCTGTAGTCCCAGCTACTCAGGCAAAGGGCATTTACTGCATAAGGATCCAGTGACTTCTCAATCATTAGAGCATAATGAGAGGCTGCTGTCAGTAACCAGCTGGGAAAATGTCTTACCCTCCTTCCCTGTAAGCTAGTAGGCTTTTATATAGTTTGTTACCAGCAACCCAGCACAGACGGATGCACACAGAAGCATTGAGGGCACACACTGTCTTTCGCGGATAAATTCAGACAAAGGAGCAGACATTGGGTACACTGTTTGACGTATCTTGGGATTCTTTCTATATCTATTTCATGGCAAGGAATAAGGGCATCTGGGTCATTTGGAAGCCACCGGGCTTAGCACCCCGTGGATGGAGTGTCCCCGCCTTGAAGATAGGCTGTTAGCGGGATTCGTACTCACGTGGAAGATGATGGCGGGGGCTGGAGTGAGGCGCTTGACGCTGATGTAAGAAAGTACTTTGAGCATGTGGCCCTCCCGGCCCGCCACATAAATGAGTCTGGAAAATAACGACATGGGAATCCGCTGACCAGAGTGCAGACAATCTGTCCAGGACCACGGAGGACGTGTGTTCCGGGGTCCACTAAGGAGCCCTGGGAAGGTTCATGAAGGGAGCTGAGCGGGCACCTGGGCTTCAGATGAGGGTCTGTCTTTGGGAGAGAAGTGGGTTGGGAGGTGGAGGCTGCAGTTAGCCAAGAATGTGCCACTGCACTCCACCCCAGGCAACAGAGTGAGACTGTCTCAAAAAAAAAAAACAACAAAAAAAAAACGAGAGAGGTGGGCCTCTTTGGTTACAGAGACAGGCCACAGGTATTCATGATGACTTAATAAAATGAAT